TAAAAACCACTGGCGTTCTCTTGCCAGCGCAACGCTCCCTCTCCACAACTAAGCAAGCGTTGTTGGTGTACGTCTATGGTGCGTTTAGTGCACGCTCGTGACTACTCTCCACTCTCCACGTAACGCAAATGACCGCGTCCACACGAAGAAGACTAGGAACTAGCCAAGCGACTTTCTTCTGTCTTCTACATTCCGACATGGATGTTCAACAACTGTTTAAAAATCTCAGGAAGGAAGCTGAATGTCCCCTGTGCTTAGAAACAGTCAACGACCCCAAGACGCTGCCATGTTTGCATTCTTTCTGTTTGCACTGCCTCGATAAACTGGGAACGTTCGCAAGAAGACAACTGCAACCGACGATCAAATGTCCGGTTTGTCTGACTCTCTTTCAAATCCCGGAAGAAGACACGTTCCGTGGTCTTCCCACATCATTTCATCTCAATCGATTGGTAGATATTCTCGCGCTGAAAGATGGAAAGACCGAGGGTCAAAGATGTGATAGCTGTGAAGAGAACAGCGCGGTTACTTCATATTGTTTTATTTGTCAGAGCTTTCTGTGCACAGCTTGTTTTGAGGCGCATCAGCGATTGAAGACTACAAGAGGTCACCGCAATGTTTTGATTGAGAAATTGCAAGTGCAAGACGTCAAAGAGTTAATTCAGCGACCGGTCATGTGTACAGAGAAGTATCATCAAAACGAAGCACTGGAATACTTTTGTCAAGATTGCAAGGTGTGTATTTGCATGAAGTGCGGCTTTGTGAATCACAATCGTCACACCCTGGTGGATATTCAACAAGCGGCAGAAGAACGAAAGATCCAGATTACAGAGGTCATAGACAAAGCAAAGGCCCAAGTCGCCGTCGTTGAAAGGAAAATGAACCGACAAATTGACGTGATGAAGAGAACAACACACGAGTTGGTTACCACTGGAAATAAAATCACAGCAATTGTGGACGAACTAGTGAGAGCTTTGAGGGAACATGAAACTGCTATGAAGACCTCGCTAGGTCATATTAATGAAGCTCAACAGAGAGATCACGCAACGCAACTAGAAAACTTTCAGTTAACCGTCTCCCAACTAAAAGGATTTGTTGAATGCGGAAAAGGCGTCTTACAAAGAAACATCGCCTCTGAAATCCTTCAAGCACAGCAAAATGTCATCAGTCGCTTTGAAGAACTTCTAGGCCCTTCAGAAACAAAGATTTACAGCCCTTGTCACGTCAGTTATGTTCCAAATAAAGAGACGAAACAACTTGTGAATGTTTTGAAAGTTTCGGGCCCGGGTCAAGTTGTTGCTAGTTTCACTGATCCGTCGCGATCGGTCGCAGAATGGAAAGGCCGTAAAACTATTTTAAAACCGGGTAACGAAACGAACTTTTCAATTCTAACGAGAAGCTCAAACGGAAATCAGTTTTACAATGAAGAAGACCAAGTGACCGTGAAGATCCGCTCTCCAACAGGAGAAATCAAGGACAACAGGGTCACAGATTTTAAAGACGGAAGTTACAACGTATGCTACAAGCCAAAATGTGTTGGCCAACATAACGTGTCGATTGAGTTAAACGGAATACCACTGAATGGTAGTCCCTGGAGAATTCAGGTAACTCAGCAGAAGTATCAACATGTTTCAAAAGAGTTTAGCGGGCACGGAGAGTTTCGTTTTCCATGTAGCATTGCACAAAGTGAAAAGACTGGAAATATCGCTGTGGCTGATTACGATAACAAGAAAGTTTTGCTGTTTAATTCCGGTTTGAAATACCTTAGAACTGTAGTTGACATGCGTCCAACGCGAAAACCAAGATCTCTGGCATTCACAAAGTTCCATAACATCATTGTCGTTGATGAAGCGTCACACGAGTCAAGTAAAATTTCTGTATTTACCGAGAATGGAAAGCTCATCAAACATATCAGTGAGCACTTGACTAACCCGTGCAGTGTGTCTGTTATGAGTGATGGAAACATACTGGTATGTGACTCGGGTGACATATCAATCAAGGTCCTCTCCCCTGACGGGACCGAGTTGTTGCGGTCCTTCAGAATAAGAAACTACGATGCGTTCCCGTGGTTTGCTGTTTACCATAAGGGAAAGTATTTCGTGTCATATCGCATGGCTGATTGTGTGAAGGTGTTCAATGAGGAAGGGGAGCCTCTATATGACATCGGACAGTTCAACTGTCCTGCTGGCCTCGCCATCGACAAGTTTGGCCAGTTGTTCGTGTGCGACTTTGAAGTCCTTGTAAGTCCGAGCAGTGGAGTCCGCAGTAAAGTACTAGTCTTAACATTGGATGGAGAATTGGTTGACTGGTTCCTCGTAAACTTAAACAGTTGTTTTTGTTCCGTTGCTGTTACATTAAATGGTAATGTCCTCGTTTCTGATGTGAAAAAAGGCTCTATTCAAGTTTTCCAACAAGCTTCGAATGCTGAATAAGATTTCAGTTGAATAAATCGGTGATGGTCGTACTCATCTGGAAAGACGGATAATGCGTATCAGACGTAATCAGACGTCTAACATTGTGTGTTAAACTGCGGACATGAGTGTCGAGACTTTTTTTTGCAAATGGAACGTTTTCTAAGAGAGATCCGTACTTGCCATTAATGCTCTCTTCGTCAATAGCCACCCCCTAACCCCCAATCAATGTTGAAACACTTTTTATGGACCATATAACGTGGCTACAACATTTCAAAGGGGAGAGAAGACAAATTACACCTAAAGGGAGGTTTGATTTCCGTCATTGTCTGACCCACTTTTGTCCTTGATTGTACGAGATGCATCAGCAAAACTTGTGTGGTGTTGACAAAAAATGCTTTTGTGAGATTGCTGGTCACATATTTTAATGAGCTGAGTTGAGCAGACTGTTTTACGAGTCTCGTATTCAACTAGACGAATCGAGTCGTGCGTCCAAGAACATAGGCGTACGGGCAATTTTTTTCAGGGTGGGGGTGTTGAATCACTTTCCCAAAAAAATAACCCTGGTTGACCAAATTTTTACAAAACAATCGAGCACAAACAATTTTTCAAAGGTCATTGAATGTTGTCTTTTAGAAACTTTTACTTTTCAACTCACTGAAGCTATCTCTTAGCAATTCATGGCATTTGGTTAAGAGGAGAAGGGGAAAAATTGCGTGTTTGTGTCCTATGAAATTTCGACACGGTAGCATGGTAGCACGGTAGCACGGTGCAGAAAAGACGTGAATGAAATTTCTGCAATGCTCAGAGCGGGCTTTGAGAATGAAGAAAAATTCCAAATGCGTACAAAAATAAAGCTTTTGTCTCGGTGACAATGTAAGACACAAAAAAATGGGTATTACGAAAATACCGACTCGCACTTCGTTTCAGTGTTGCGTCTCACCTTGTTGTATAATAATTACCAATATTGGTATTCTCTGTTTTAGTGCCACTGTAATTTCTCGAATCAAATTTGAATGTTTTAAAAACCCTTTACACAAATTTCTCGTTTCCCCCAAAACGTCTGGCGCACTCGTCTGTAAATGACTGTAAGCCAGCCACCTTTCAACCTCGGTGGAAATTAGCACTCACGAAAATGAAAATATCAGTTAATGAATTTGTACCATCTTGGCTGATTTTATGTTTATTATTGCTTTCAACAATAATATTCGATAATCTGCTTAATAAAATATTTACAATTTCTAATAATACGATGCACAGTGTGAGGTTAACATTTGGAATAATTACAAGGGAACAGAAGATAAGTAAGATGTTTTTAAAATATAATGAAACCACTGCGGTAGTTTACGTCTGTTTCAATGTAAAAATAACGTCGTTTATAATCCAATTAAAATAAATCTTCATACTTAATGCATAAAATAACTTTATGTATTCTATATTAGAGTATATTAAAAGTACTACGATGCTTTTGCAAGGGAACGACAAAGTATTTTTCTTGTAGTCAATAGTGTCAATTTTCACAAACTATGGATGTGAACATATAATAGCGTTCAGTTCCTGAGCTGGGTCGTCCTCTACTCTCCAGACCAACTCAGTCCTCTTTGGCCGTGAGAGAGTAGAAACGAGATGAGTACGGATATGCAAAGAATTTTATCGAGGAATAAAATCTGCGAAGAGAAAGACTGATTCCAAGTCTCTGTTGCCATGGTGACAGCGCATGAGAAACGCTCTCGTGCGAGTCTGCAGTGGTGGGTCAGCTGGCAGTTTTCTTTGCTGGAATTTCCCGTTTTAGCGAGAGCCTGTAGTTGTCTTCCTCAGAGTTAAACGAAGCGTTCAGAAGGAAATGGCGGACGAATGGACGACTGACAAAGTCGTATTGGATTGAAGCGATCTGGTAAACCCACAACTGTTTCTCCGTGCCTACAAACACAGAAAAAAAGAAAATTTAGAAACGCATCACTGGATTTATAACCCTGAGATCTAAAATTAAATTTTAATGACTGTGGGAAGGTTAAAGTAAATTATCACTGGGGATCCTGGGAAAAACAGGGAAGCCAGGGATCATGACAACGTTTAACTTTTCCAACTTTTCTTCACCGCCCTTTTTCCCTAAGATGAAAGCAAACCTTGATGGGAAGAAAACAAACGTCACCTAAATATGTAAAATACGATACACGAGTGCTTCGATCAGCAACACTGGGGTTTCGGGTAGATAAATATAGCCTGTGAACAGTCCGAACTAACAACTAGTCACAAGACAAAGCCAGTCAAAATCAGCCACTAGCCATAAAATTGTGGTGAAACCTTTGATTTACCTGATTGTAACGCGTGACTGCTGGTGTTCGGCGTGTCCTCCACGAAAGAATTGTTACTCGACGAGAGCTTCACCTGGATATCAGGTGATCTGTCGAGGGGACCTGGGCTGAGTTCAGGGGACAGCCTCCCTCCCTCCTTGACCGATGGACTACTCTGTGATTTGGCCAGATCTTTGAATTTTAAATTGTTCAAGTTCTCTGTGACCGACAGTGTGCTGAGGCTGACCGTGAGCTTTTCCGAAGACGATCCCCGCGACACTCTGCCTTCCTTCACGGACTGACTACTCGGCGTCCGACGAACAAGTCCTTTGAGAAACGAGCGCCGACTCTCGCCCGTTTTAGTCTCCGACAGTCGTCTCTTCGGCTTCATCAAAAACGAGATCCCGTTGTGATTTGTCGACGTTTCAGAAAGTCTCCTCAGCAGCGGCGGTCTACTGGGCGTGCGCGAGTTACCGCTGGTCGCGTTACGAGGGCTCTCATTGAGCGAACTTGAGCTCGTGATCACAGAATCTGAGCTCGAAGTGAGACCTTTGCGTAGATCTCCATCAGGAATGTCCAACACCTCTGTGCTGCTGTTCCTGCTGCGATTCAACATAACACCACTGTCGTTTATGCTCTGACGATTGTGAAATCTCCACAGTTTGCTTCGTGATGGCGTCCGCTTTACTTTCGCAGTCCGCTTCTCGCTTTTCTCGTGCGTGACATTTTCCTTGTCACGCGGTGACGTTTGCCAGTCTGGTGTCACGCCATTCTCGGTCATGCCGTTACGTTTTGGAGTTGCACCGTTCATTATGGTTCCGTCTGTCCTATCAAGTTTGTCGTTTCGCCCCATCAACGGAGACTGTTTTCCTCCTTTGATTAATTTCTTTCTTTTGCAAGCCAGGTATGTGTGCGTTTGAGCAATTTCAGTCAAGAAATTCCCAAGGAATGGTAAACACGGACCATTTTCCAAACAGGCGGACAGTTCTGAGCGGTACAATGAGAAATTGTCACTTTCTCCCATGAGGATTGACAAATCGCGAAACTTCCTGTAAACAAATGGACGGTGATAAAGATAAATATGCGTTGAAAAATGATAACCAAAGATAAGACCCAAAATGATAATCTAGACTAGGAACTGCAGCCCTTTCTCACTTCCCTGAACCGCACTGAGCTGTGCCCCTACTCCCTACCCCCCCCCCCCCCCCCCACCTCAACCCCGCTCCACCGAACAACACGATGGTGTCACAAATTACCTCCTCTCCTCACTCTCCTTAGAAAGTAGATTGTCAAACGAGAAACGTGGCTTACTTTTTCCTCTTTGAAGGGACTTCTTTCCAGGTCTCTTTCAGTCTGTAGACAGGAGTGGACTGGAGACCAGCCAACAGAGCCTTGAGAGAATTGAAGTTTCCTAAGAGATGACACTTATCAGCAATCTGGAAAGGAAAATGCCGCAAAGAAAACTTCAGAACACGAGAATGACACCAAGATCCGCTTGCTTAATGATACAACTCAATATTTCTCTTAACATCTCAAAGGGATGAGCACACCTGTAGTATACCAAGGTCCGCATTGGCCGAGTAACAATACTAGAATAACCCAAAAACAAGCTGCATTATAAAACTACGTAACTTAGTCTTAAGTAAAACGCATCTAATTCATTAACGAGGATTCAGCAGCATTTATTTCCATAACGTGTCGCCAAACAAATACTAACTGGTTCGAAAAATATCCGCTTGCGGGAGGCTTCACTGTACTGTAATCAGTGAAAATGTTGCCCTTGCAGTTGCAATTATATGGTGTAAGGGTAATTCACAGAGTACTAACAAGGGCTGTAAATAGTTTTAAATACCTGGATGACTTTAGAGATCGCTCTAGCTCGTCCACTGGGCGTGTCCTGAGATAAAATTTCAGATGCCGCAAGAAGTGCAACGCGATTAAAAAACTCCACCATCGCCATAACGTTAGGTGAAGTCACGTACTGAAATACAAACAAAAAAAATAATTACAAATATTATCAATCGGCACATTGCTTGTGATGCAGAAATAGGTAATTATTATCTTTGTTAGCAGAGAACATTAGCTGAATTAGGCACCCCATCCCTAATAAGTGCCAGGGCTAACCTCTAGAAGCGCGCGGGTGCCACAGGCGACTAACTCTTGCCTTTGGGCGGACGGAAATATCTTGCTTTTTTCATACAAGCTTATGTGCTCAAACCCAGGATTTCATGATTAGGAACCTTTGGGCTCCTCGTAATTTTTCTTAGACCACAGCCAAAGTGCCCTCTCCAAAAAGCGTCCTGCCTTAAGCTACCAACAGTAATTAGCGCCCGGACGCCAAATTGAATCATATAAAGTAAAACAAGATAGATCTTGACGATTCTCCTTTACCTTGTCTTTAGTCATCCAGCCACAGTTTGCCAGCTCCGGCCAAGGTATTCTGATAAACAGTTCTTTGTCAATAAGCGTGATTTCCCGCGCAAATAGCGAGGCGTCAATATCAATCAGGCGCTGAGAGAGGTCTGGGACGTTAGAGTCAACCACGTCCGGGCTCTGAGGAACCTCGCCTGTTGGACTTGAGGCCTGGTTGCTCATGTCCTCCTCTTGGGAACTAGATTTGAAGATCGGTGATAAGATCTTCTTGACGAGCCTTTTCTTTCTCATGCTCCCTTAAATTAAAAAAAAAAAAAAAACGTATTTACATAAATCAACAATGGCAAAGTATGGTAGGTTAAGTCTGCATACGAACCAAGTGGCCAATCAGGCCGGAGCTTATCCCGGTTTCTGTAGCATGAAGTGACAAGGAGTATTTCTATTCCCCCTTGGATGGGATGCTAGTCCATCACAGGGTCACCTCCAGCATTAAATTCGCCGGTACCCATTTGTACGCCTGGGTGGAAAGAGGCACTGTGAGAGTAAAGTGTCTTGCCCAAGAACACAACACATTGTTCCCCGGCCAGGGTTCGAACCTTGACCGCTCGATCCGGAGTCGAGCGCACTAACCATGAGGCAAAATTTAAGTCTAACTCAAAAAGCTGGAAAATTATACCTTGATTATGCATAAAAATCAAGATCATATTTATAATAAAATGGCAGTCAATAAACGACAGAAAACCCATCGTGGAACACAATCCGTTTAACTCTACGAAAACGATTCGTTTAGTTCCAATGCAATTCTTTTGACATATGCTCTCTAAAAATAATTTCAGTAAGAGGGCATTCATCTATAAATTAACAAAACACTACCTGCGCTTGTTTCAGTAAAAACAATCTTGATCAACTCTCAAGAGATATCAAAGTGTTAAAGACCACAGAACCGTGTCATTTGAATTCACCACAAAATTATTTCAAAGTGTCTCCAAAAGACCCAACCAAGAAGCCCCCAGGAGCGGTGCGCGGTCCAAGAACTTCCGACGGTGCTGCAAAAAAATATGTTGCGATTTGCGCCGCCGAAAGATACCGCGAAATAAAAACCTGCTGCCTGCCTTTGTCTAGACGCCACGCTGATCTAGTCTGCTCGAGCCATTTTATAATGGAATCGGCATTGTGAAGATCAAAGGGCTATCGTTATTAACTGAAAAGATATAAATGATGTTGAAGTGATGAACACCTGGCTCGACACTTTTATTAGAAAATAACGAGTGAGACTTGAAAAACCGTCAAACAAAATCACTTTATTTTTGGAGCCCCATTGGAATCAAACGTTCGGGTTCTAATGAAAAAAAATATTTCGCCAATTTAAGTGGTCGTTCTAATCTACTCGCCAACGAAAAAAACAAATTTAAAATAATCCTATTGATTTGAGCGGTGCCGGTATATCTTTTCGGTGGGCAGTTTCCTTTCGAATTACATAAGAATTCAAATTTCACAGAAAACGCACGCGATTTTGCAATGAAAGTTCTTTTTAACGTCTTAGTTAAATTCCCGTCTGCAATAGTGATTAACGTACAGATTCCCCTTGCTCAGTAACAATAAAACTGAGGGGTCGGGTAATGAGAGAAATTTTTGTCCGACTTAAAAACCAGATTTTCACACGAAAGAAAATTACGGCAAATGACTGCAAACGGTGAGAAGATTATCTCCACATACCTCGGTTGAAATAACCTACGAAACAAAACATTTTCATCGTTTGTCCCCAACGCTGTTTCACGCAAGAAGTAGCTAGAGTAGTTTGATGTAGCAACGAACCGCTCGGCGTTTTCACAAAATTACTAATAAAAAATTGGAAAACAACGCGATGTCCAAATAAGACCAAACAAAGTTCTCACACCTTAATTGCTTGCTGCCACGCAAACGTCACGCGCTTTGCGAGCTGAAGCAGAGCTGTGTCACGTTATGTCAAATGCATCACTTTTCGAGCGTGACAAGGTTGCGTGCCCGAAAGCTCTACAGAACATTCGCGTGATTTTTGATAAATTTACAATATTGTAATGAGGAACGATGTCAGTGATTTCGCTCCACGCTAAGCTGGGTTCGTGAAAATTTTTATTTTAGTGCGAAAAATCTTGAAAACAGTTTTTCGCTCCAACGGGTACAAAGCAAAATATTGCAAAGGCGAGTTGGAACACGGCAAATTTCTAGCAAAAAGATCACGAAACGACACATTTAAAGCGAAAAAAAAAATTGTGCTCCGAAAGTTAGAAATACAACCCCAAAAGAAAGTCTCGATACTAATACCTGATTTAAATTCAACAAGAATAAACATAATTGCTGTTTGAAAAAAAAGAAACGTTTCAAGAGACCAAACATTTGACAAATATACTTACTACGATGACGGAGAGTTATGTGCCGTGGAACCGGCACAACCAGAACATGCATTGAAGAAAGAGATGTCCTTGAGTTTTACAAAGTGCTTGCTGTTTACTTCGTAGCGAACTAAACATAAGCGACGAAAGGTGGGTAGCAAATCATAAAAGTCGATGCCCCGACTATAATCTAATCCGACTAGAAATTTCTTTAGTCACGAAAAACAAATATCGGATTGTTTTCATGTCAATAAGGTGAATGCGTCAATTCGCCGAACAAAAAGACTTAAATCCTACTGACGGCGCGTAAGTATTATGTTATGAGTGAAGGAACAATATTTTGACGAGACTACGTTAGGAACAAGGGCGTTCCTACTTACAATGGCGAGTAAAACAATGGCAACAGGAATCACGTATAAATCTACAGATTTCTTAAGTCAACACTCAGTCAAACTTCTAAAAACTTATGCTTTCTTTCTGGTGCCTCAATAAACGACAACGAAGATTCTTTTTACAGGCTTTTCGAATGAGTATGTATCAGAAAGTTCGAGAAAACGCTAAATGTGTATGCCAGTGGTTTCGGCGAATCGATTTACGGCATACAAGTTGATGTTTGTTGCTCTACTGCATAAATTAGAATAATTACTATTAAGAACTCAGTCATGCATTAAGCCTGCGGCTAAGAACTGAATGTTTAATGTTGTCATGTCTGGTGCAGGAAAGTTCTCGAGTAAGCTCAAGGTCTAAAACACATGTGCACTTGAGTCATCAATATGGATCTAACGGGAATTTGTAACAAGATTATTGGAAAACAAGAACTCTAAAATGCAGTGTTATCTTCAAACAACAATGTTTCCGGCGGAAGGACGAAGATATAGACAATGAAGAGACAATGCAAATTGAGAGAGAGAGATAAGAATGCACCAATAAAGAAGCGAGAAAGAAACATTTGGGCCAAGTTTGGCAAAAGCATTTTTTTGGCAGGTTAAATATGTAGGAAAAATTGCAGTTGAAATTTTACGTGGTTGTAAAATTAATGAAAGGGCATGGCTCAAAAAATGGCATTAAGAACTTGACCACAATAACAGGAAACTAAGAGTATTGCTACCTTCCCCGGAAGGGATGTTAGTCCACTACAGGTTTTTCCCCGCTCCTACTCGCATTCTGTTGAGGCCTCAACAAATCTTTGGCACCTAGTTGTGTTCCTGTGTGACGTACACATGTAAGGCAGACAAGACCTTAGTATCTTGCCGAAGACCAAAACACAGCACAGTGCCTATGTACACAGAGCACTGGATCCAGAGTTCACAGCACTAGCCCTTTAGCCATGAACCTCAAAATAACTGATCAAACAGACCTTTCCGCCAAAAAAACTTACCCCCCTCCAAACAGGTTTACAGAGGCATTGGTTTTACATATTTCATGCATAATGCTATAACAAAGCCCTCAAAATATCTTACCACTGTAAGAGAAACTTGGTCTTCCTATAGGAGTGGTATCAACTCCAGAAAATTCTAAGACAAATGCAAAATAAAAGATTGAATAAGCAAATACTTCAGTATGCAACCAAAATATGAATATTTGTAATACTAACAGTATGAGGATGGAAACCCCAAAATCAAATTCACATAAATCTTCCTTCACAATGCTCAACAAGTTAATTCAACTGCTAAAATGTGTTCTTGTCTGATAAATTCAAGACCCTCGACACAACAAACGCCATGAACATTTTGCTCTAACATGACACTTGTTTACAAATTAAATTTTCAATAATTATTACACAATTCTCTCAGTTCACAGGTATATACAGATTCAGCAACAGCAAATGGATATAGTGATTGCAAAACAAGTTAGCTAAACTGCTAAAATGTGTTCTTGCCTGATAAATTCAAGACCTTCAACACAACACAGGCCATGAACATTTTGCTCTACTGAGATACTTGTTTACAAACTAAATTTTCAATAACAATTATACAAATTTCTCAATTCACAGGTATATACAGATTCAGCAACAGCGAATGGATATATCGATTGCAAAACAAAATATTTTATGAGTTTAAAACTCATAGCATGTTTCTGACAATCCCATTCCCAGCTGATAAACAATAACGCATTACAACTTATTTCATCACTGATTCTTTGTTATGCATGCAGTCATGGTGAGTAAATGGTGACATAATTAAAAAATCTTCTAAACACTAAACAGGACCTTACCCATCTTTGACACACACAAAAAAATGATCTTAAAAAATTATATTCCAGCGTATAAACACATCCATCCGGACCACCATATACGCTCCATAACAAGCCATTGTGTTGCTATGTTTGGGGCCCTGAGGAAGTTTTAAATCCTGCCTTGAGCTGAAAGGGTCACAGTAAATAAACCCCAAGCACACTCTGACTTCCTTTTTAGTCTCACAAACGTTACAGCTCTTTATTTACCACAAGCTTAAGTGTTACTACTGAAACTAAGGATGAGAATCTTGGCAAAATGTGTGCACTAAGAAACCGCTGCAACTTCCAACTACAAAATGTGAATGACAATTTCTTCAAGAATAACACATTTATCAATCAATGCTGTCACGCAAACACTGGTAACCAAAGTAAAGAAGTCACCATTCCAATTTTTAACACCAGATTCTCAAAAATAACATTAAAAATACATGGATGAAAGAGAGTAAGGACTGAATAGCTGTTTTGACCAGTAGTAAGCACTGTTTCTAAATTACTTCCATCTATATCTTGCTCATACTTAAACAGAGCTAAAAGGAACTGAAAGATTTATTTAATGGTAGCTTGCTGTGCTTTAAGGGAAGGAAAACCCCAGGCTAGGGATTCCAACTTCCTGTATTAGATTACCATATATGATTTTTGGATCTCCCCACAACCAAATCAAATGAACTACCAGTACATCGAATCTTTACTGTTGACTATTCAAATTTCTTTTCTGCTACGAACAAAGCTTGAATCTATAAAATTCAAACAGTGTTGAGTTGAAACATCTTGGAATTCACTGAATCGCACTCAAGGGTGAAGGCAAAGATGGAACATATCTATCAACATTGTCAATTAGTTGGGGAATACTGTGTTTATTTATACAGTAATATATTCTGTACATATGAGACTTCGGACCTGTACAGACCCACCAAGGCTAAAAGTCCCAAAATAGACATATGTTAGTACACAAACCTACCAGTATGTGGCAAATTTTAAGACCATGAATCAAAATATTACTATGTACTGCCTCATAGAAAAAAAAAAAGATTCCCAATCTCAAGTAAGTTATATCATTTCAATTGGCAGAAAATCTGGGTCATCATTGTAAAAAAAGTCAAATTTCTGTTCCTTAGTTTTACCTATTTTTAAAAATTCCAAAGATGTACACTCACATAAAGTCACAAGAAAGTTCAAATTCTTAACTGAGTAACTGACATGCAAATTCTAAGATGCTAATCTGCAGTGAAGCTTGAATTCAGGTAGATGAAAAATGTATTCAATTTATTCCCTTGGGAAGAAACATAAATAATAAATGAAAATAAACGTTTATCTACATCTACCGAGGAATTTAACATTTACACAATAACACAGACAACCTGAAGAAAGGTAACTTCATTTGTACCAGTTGGTGATTTGTGTGCGAGCAACATTTTATATTTATAACTCTTCAATATTTGTCTTGGTATATTTCTTTAGGCAACATAACATCACTGCATGATAAATAATGGGTCAATATGATATTAAACTACAGTTCTCTAGCTTAGTCTGCCACAGCAGGGAGCTACAGTCAGTCATACGCATGTGTGACTCTTGTGAAATAACATGATTCTGGAGATCAAAAAAATCTAAGATTCTTCTCATTATCTCATGTATTTACATGTACCCCACAACAAGCAAATCCCTCAATCCAGCTTAACTATTGTCACAAAGCTCTGCACATTCTTGTATAAAACATGGTCGGACATGGTCATAGCACTATCAGTTGGAAACAATGTAGTACATTTGTACAAGAGGAAAGGAAACAATGAAATTCCTCACCTTTGAAATCATTCTCCAGTAGGTTAAAATAAGACAAGGGTATGGAAAAACAGAATGGGTTTGAACCTCTCCTTTCTTTTGCTGAGGATTGTGAAAGCTCTGTGCAGGATCGATTGAGGACATAAGACTTCTTTGATCCACACCACATGTTTGAAATACCCAACTGCTTGGTTTTGAGGATCAAAAAGTCAATGTAGTCTTGATTCAAGAAAGACACCATTCCCAGAAGTTACTAGGTTGAGGAGTGAAAATTATGAAAGTTCACCTCTTAGATGTTAGGAGAAAGACCTGTGCTATCCGCTCCATGTGTGATATTTGAAACCTGAGGGGTTTAGCTGTCCTTATTTCACAAGATATGTCATGACCTAATATAATTGGTATTTGTATTACTGCTAATGCATTTAGCATTGATTTCACACTGACACCTGACCTGATGTTCATCCATACAATGGAATTGGGTAGCTTTTGCTTCTGTTAAACCTGGTTTCAATTTTGATTTGTTGAAACACAATAAAACACTAATACTGAGTCTGATCAGTGGAACAATGTTTTGACAAGATGAATAGCTTCAGTAAAGCCAATATTTTCTCTTCATTGGCACTTGTGCTTTTAAGGAAAGAACCCCCAGAATGTGTTCTTGCTTCCTGCTTTGTTGATCAGCAGAAGATAAAAACCTCAACAACAAAACAAGATACCCGAAGATATCATTATTGGCATTCTGACAAGCCCCCTCAGACGTAGACTTCTCACGTTCCCGGAGGCATCTGGGATTCCAGTACTGACAGAAATGTCAAAAATTCCAATATCTTGTCACGTAAATTTGGACTTAAATCCAGACAAGCACCTTTGATTGGTCAACAGCAAACTGTACATAGTTAAAGGGATATGCACATACCAAGCTAAAGATGTTGTAAAGCAAAAACGTAGCAACTAAAAACTCTCAACAATTTCTTATTACACACACAAATACTCAACCCTTTCACTCCTAGTACAAGAAGTGTCAAGTTCAAAACAGAAAGAAAACAAATTCAAACTTCATTTTGCAAAAACTTAAAGGAATCACAATATTTTGAATTAGTTTGGCCATGTACAAAATTACCTCTAGGAAGCCTGAAAATAGAACTTTACTAAGATACATGTAGAAAAATAACAAAGTGATAATAATAAACCATAAATTACGGAGTAAGCTGGATGGAGAAGATTATCACAGATTACAAACAAGGGACTTGACCAATTCAGGCTAAACTTTTCAGGATGCACAAACCGAGACGTAGCTCCTTTAAAATTGGAAAAACAAACATTGCTGGATGAAAGTATGGCTCAGTATCTTTCATTTGAACAACCACACAGTGACGTTTTATGCACAACAGTACAAACTTGCATGTAAAGTTTGAACCACCTTGTGTGGTGCATATTATTGGAAACGATTGTGTCTCCATTCATGTACAGGTAGCATTTTTTTGAATATGGTCACACACTGAGATCTCATCAATTAACAGTTAGAACGCACAGTGAGATTATGAATGGAGGGGATAAAATGAAACTGTCATTATTATGAAACACTGTTACTAAAAAGTAGACAACAATTTTGCATCAGCAATTTACATATGAATACTAGTAGCTTCAAACAAATAATGGTACAGTGCACCAGTTTAAACAGTAAATAATGACTTCAGGTTTTTTCCCAGGTCAAAACACAAATTTGCTTGATGTGAACTTCAATGACAACCACAACAAAATTCATAGCCTTGCTATAAACTGAAAAACGTTGTGAAATGGTTATAAAATCTAAATCTCTCTAGGCCACTGTCTTAAAGAAGGTAACAGAACTCTTGAAGCTGGTGTAGATTGAAACTTTTGAGCAGTCATCCTGATTAAATGACTCCAGTAAAAGAAATTTAATAAATTTGAATTCGTGCGCTGGAGAGTGCAATCAATTTTCTAAATGCAAGACTGTCTATTGTCACAGAAAATCATGTGTTATCTACAAAATGTCTTTTCAACATGACTACCGTAAGAAGGACTTCATATTCATGAACAAAATTTAATAAATTACAAAGTATAACATAGAATGCTTTTAATCAGAACAAAATGAAAACAGGACATGGATTGATCATGGTAAGCTAAGTGGTTTTCAAAATAACAAATCAGTGCAAAACAGGAACTACATACATTAGAAAAATAGTTAATTATTAAAAATGTAAAAAATACATGTAAGACATTAGTTCACAAAGGAAAAAAAATTTATGACTTACTACAACTTCTTGCCCTAAAATTGTTAAAGCTTCCCTTGTTTTTCATGAACACCAAGTTATCAATAATATTATCAAGGGTAAAATTTTCATTTTTGAAGTCTCTCCAACATGGAAAGTAAAATATTTTGCTAGGAGTGACTCAAAGACAGCTTTTGGCACCAAGCTGTGACTAAAAACTAACTTAATGCATCAGAATTCAATAAAGTTAAAAAAATTTCAGAGTTACAGACATTGCGATTAACAGTATCTAGTTTAACTTTTTAATAAAAATTAAAAATTGAACTTCAAATAATGGCAAGGTCACAAAAAGCGTTTCTTCATTGTGTAAAAGAAAAAAATTAGTTTCATGAAACTAATACTTTATATGTAACTATCCAACCACAAAAATGAAATTTAATGGCAAGAGAAAGTACTTTGCACCATTAGAAAATAAAATTTAAGAAATAGTTTTGAGTTTCCATTAAGTTATATACAGGAGCAAACACAAAATTAAAGTTAAGCAGAACATGAAATTCTGTAGTCCTGAACACAACCCATATAAAGTTGAGAGTTTACAAGGCTTTTTTTTTTTTTTTTTAAAAATCCTTGGAACTTTCACAAAGAGACTCTATAATATGTAACCTGATAGGGACATGGAGAATGTTTTCTATTTCTTTTAGAAATACTGTAAGGAAGAGAAAGAAATCAAAATAATTTGTTTATTGCAATAATCAAATATAATGAATTCCCTTCGTACATGTGATCAATACCTCAGCTGTAGTTATCTGAGAATTTTAGCACACACATTCTTACAAGAAAACTAGGGTATTCACTGTCCACAAATGAAAAAAAAAAGCTATTAAGTTACACAGCTTGCAGGAAGTATACTGAAAAAAAGTTACTCTAGCAGTGATTCATCCTTGGTTTCTCAAATATCTTTTATAGACTCAATCCATAATTTATGCAAACACACTGTAGTGGGGACTGTGTGTACATGTACTTGTACAGTATGTGAAAATGTCTTTTCTTTTATAAACAAAATTCAAAAGGTAGGTTCATGTATACTACAAAGGAATGGACTCATAAAATTTTATTCATCATCTCAGAAAGAATACTGTGATTGAAGATCAAATTCTCCTCAGTAGAATGATAGACAATCTACAGAAAAAAAGCAAGAACAATTTCACTGCTGATCAATGATGACTTTGCAACTCCTTGCAATTTAAATAAGGTTCACTTTGGCACACTGTCATGAGAATGTCAGGCTCATGTAGGAAAGGCAGTATTGTTTTATTGATGCCTACTACTCTCTGTTAGTTGACAAAAACAGGAAATGACCAGCTGGGTTGCAAACCCAGAGTAAGTATAACAAAAGCTGCAAGTATTAGCAGTCCAAATTGTTACAAGCAGTCAAGCGTTAACTTAATTAATTAAGGTGCTGATCAAATACACAATGACTTTGTATGACAAGTTGGACAAGACATTGTCTAATCATCAGGAGCATAACCTTCTAATTTGCAAAGAATATTAATCTTCTAATAATCCCTATAGTATCGAGAAAAAAAATGATTTCCAAACGCCGAGAGGAAAGATGAAAATATGGCATGAAGCAGCAAATTTTTGATGAATTTTGAGGGAAAGGAAGAAATAAAATTGTAAAAATGTATGCTAATTAAGATCATATACATGTATCCAAACACCGAGACAATTTCAAAATTTCTTTGTTTAAACTTGATGAATTACTAAATTAGTTTGAGAAATCTTAATGAAGCAAGAAGTTCAGCTACAGTGACAGTATTCATATTGCAACTTAAGTTATTTTCACTTGGCCCTAGGCTGGTTGAGGGGTTGGGCAAAGGGGATAATTTCCTTTGAATCACATGATGTTTATAACTCTTTCTAGTAGAAATGACTTTGCACCAGACAAGTAAGTCTTTCACTACAGACTACATTTCACTTTCTTCACCAATATATTAATTTTCATGATTACCATAGTACCATACTTTCTGTAGCATGTTCTTTGAGCATTTATCTTTTTCATGTCCATTTTGTTTTCTTGAAATGACCAGGACCTCTAATTCTCACAATCCTCATGCTTCAAAAATTATGGTTACAAAGAATGTAAAGAGAATCCACACCTTGATCAGTCACCTACAATTTGACCTACCTTGCTTGCTTTGCATTTGACTTGGCACTGTCCTGTGGTTATCCTTGCTTGATGGGATCCCTGATATTTTATCATGTGTAGCTGAAAAACTATCGCTAAAGCCACAACGGCGATTTCCTGCAACGTTTACTCCATTTGGAGTATCCGAATCCAAGACACTTAAGGAACTCCTCTCAGCACTTCTAATATCATTGTCAATTTCTCTTACTGAATCATCACATTGTGCCGTTGGCACCCTTAACTTTGGTCGCTTCTTGTACAAGATTGTCCAGAATCTCTTAATCTTGTCTTTGCGTGGTGCCTGATTGCTGTCACTCAAATCCACGGCCATGTCATCTTTGAAGTCTAGTTGCCTTGCTACGCCTTCCTTGCTTCCCCTCTCTGAGATTGGACGAGTGACATGTGATAGATCAGGTTTTTGAGAAGTAGGCAAGGATTCAGATCTCTTTGCCAACAGTTTGCTTGTTTTGTTTGGACTGAGTGAAGTTTCTGGTGTGTTGGTCTCGTGCACTGTACTTGTCATTTTGTTCTCGTGTGCCTGCTCCTGCTTGCTGTAAAAGAGTGGGGTGTGTGCACCTAATCTTATGCCAGAGTCTGATGGCATGGGTATCCTATTGGCCTCATTGGTCAGGGCCACATTAAGGGAGTGTTTCCGGCGGTACCTGGGCGTGGCCAGGGAATCCCATGGTGGGTCATCCCCTTTACCCCTTCTCACAAAATTAAGATTGGATGGATGTGCTCGCAGGTTTTCAACCCTTTGCTGCAATGTTGCTAAGGTTGTATTTGGTGTATCCTCTCGTTCTAGTAACGCCTCTGAGCTCAGGGCGTGATTTGAGTCATCTGCGCTAGTTTCACCCCTGGTTCTACATCCGTGATTTTTTAGATCAGAATCTACTCGAACATTCTCCAGGTCACCAACGTGTGGCAACGAAGAACAACGAAAAGGCTTCACGAGAGATACGCGAGGATGCGAGTTCGATCGGTACAAGGATCCTGCGTTTAAAACATCCTGTGCGTCGTCGCTCGAACCATTGCTCACTAGCCTGGAAAGCCTGGAAACCGAAGGTCGGTGATGTTGAGTAATGGCTAGTCTGCGGACATTGCTCGGGTTTAGCATTGACATCGACCACATGGATATCGTTCGATCGACGCTCAGAGGAAAAGAGCATTCGGGAATTTGAACGTCTTCGCCATCATTGTCATCGCTACCATCATCGGAGTCGGAGTCGCACTCTATTTCACAAATGCTGTGAGAGGGAATCATGCACCGTCCTTGAGGTTCTTCGACATTGAAACTCCGCAGCCATTTGGGCCAGACTTCTTCTTTCCCACAGAGCTCGTACGTTTTCCACAATGATGTCTCCTTGTTCCATCTAGCTTTGAAAGTAAACGGGCAGCCCTCGCACACCTTGACGCTTACATCTGAGCGACGAAATTTCGTTACAATTTTGCCAGATTCGCACTGAAGCACACGCGCTTCAGAATCTCTGCGGTCCCTCATCTCTTTAACGAAAACAAACTCGTCCGTCAATAAGATATGAACCGTCTTAGAGTAGTGGAGCTGGCTGTTGAGCTCCAGAAATTCACTCTCAATCAAAACTTCGCCCTCTGTGATCGGAAGACTTGTTGGTCCACCAGATAGGCCATGCCGCATTGACCCAATGTTGTTATTCTTCCCGCGACAGTTCGCTTCGACATTCGAAGCCATGTTTCTACCGTCCCGTCCTTCAATTTGATTCAGGGTTTCATTGCGTTATGAAGCGGCGGTCTTGAAACAAAACACACGCCTCTGAAACAGGATAGGTCTTTGATTGTTATCCTAAAGCGACAGTTCATGCCGGGTAAACAGAATGAATGGGTTCGCCGTCCGCCATATTGTTCCGTAGTCCATGTCAATTATTCATATTTATGACGTCAGAGCTCGTCATGAATAATTAATGTCGGATAAAATGCTTGGCCAGGCCAGGCATAATTCAGTTTTAGACCACCTTTTTATTTCGAAAAAGACAAGAATTAACACTGTGGGAATTCTCCGCAACAATAGCCATTTTTAATCTCTAAAAGGTCTATCTCGGAAACACACGCAGATGAAAACTGGGAGCTTAACCCATGGAGGCAAATTGAAAACAAAATAACTTAGCTATTTATAAGCTGAAACGCCCAATATGTAGATCACATTGAGGGAATGTAAATTGAATTTCGTGCACTTCCATTAAACCGGCGACGTTTTGGGCTCGTCTAACCACTTTGTGCCTCTGGCTCTGATTCTTATCAGCGAGAATTCACGTCAAACGCTTTATCTCAGTACATTTTTTGATATAAAATTTCCTTCGGCTAAATCTAGGCCTAAACCCAAAATTGACCTGTTGTGGTTTGACTTCCAAGTGCACTGATTTGCATACATAGGTCTACAAGCCATTCTAACCTCTTGCATGATAATCTACATGACGTGTTTCTAAGTGGTACAAAAAAAACCCTCTACCTTTCAATCTTAGATATGAAAAATAACGCTTACTATCGCAAGCTCCTACTAGCACCTACTGCTGTTTAATCCACGCTGTTAATTTTTTTCACCCTTTATTCTGATTAGAAAGACAGAATTTTTCAGTAGTCTTTCCAACAACTCAGTGGAATTATTAAACCATCTTCGCAAATTACATTCTATTTGGTTTGACGGGAAGACATTTTCTGTATAATAAAAATATATCGATCGGAGAAATCATCATATACTTCATGTCAGTGGGCTCGATCAACTTATACAATCGTTGGTATAATACTACAAGTTACACACACATTTAAAGGTACAAGGAGATGGTAGTGTTTGATCTCGACAATACAAAATATATAACAAACAGAAAACTGAAAAAAAAAAGAGTATAAAATGACATAAAAAGATACAAATAAAAAACGTTGAAGAAGAGGTCATTGTTTGGTTTTCAGTTCAAACTCTGTAGGCTCGGCAAATGTCGCAAGTCAATTGCTACACCTAGAAATTTTTGTAGTTAGCATTATTTCTATAATATAGTGCTTTGATCCCTCTTTGATCCTCGCAGTTTAACTGCTCTTCTTTGTCGGGGTGTAAACTCAAGGTGTTTGCGCAGCGCCGACTCATCCTTTGTCCACAAAATATCGCGTGCTTGCTTAAAACAAAGAAACATTCATTGTCAGCTTGAGCGCTTATCGTGACATCTTTGCAACACTCGGTTTAATTTTTTTTTTTTCTAATTTGAATAATGGAAATTTAAAACTTGTCGTTGTGTCTTAATGACAAGAATAGAGTTAAAACTGCTGTCTATTCACACCCTAGAGCTTTTTTTAGCGAGACGCCCGAGCCAATCGCGTAGAGAAGAGAGCTTGAGAATGGGAGTAGGGGGCAGGATAATTGATTCTATCGAAATTGTTGAAATTATTATTTGCTTCTCCCAACCATTTAAGAAAAAAAGTCACACCTTACTTCCGCCCCCCTCTTATCCCCACCCTACTCCATAGAGTTAACTTTGACCATGTCGACTCAAACGACAGGTAGCTGCGGCGTCAAGTTTTTATCTTTCAGCTGAGATGTTACACCCATTTTATCGGTTAGCTGAGGTCTGAGATTTGCAATATTTACTGATGAATGAGAGATAGGCTGAAATGTTAGTTGATAGCCGAGAAATCGCGGAAAATTTAACTCATAACTGAGATTCCTGAGGCCCCATTCAGACGCCTGTAATGAGAAAATTATAAACGACGCGAAAATGATAAGAAGGCTCTGGCTCCTCCCTGTTATCTCCTTTAGTCGCCCTGCATGCAGTTTCCTCGTGAAAAGCGATGAAATGCTAAGGTAACTTACCGCCAACTGTTTTGAGTGCTAGATGGAGCATTAGACATTAATATCTTAAAAAGTTGGCGATTCTTTACCCAGTCACATGTTTTCCTGATGACGGATTAAGCGGTAAAACTTTATCTCCCAAGAGAGATAAAGATAAACTCAATCTCCGAAGAGAGGTATAAGCTTTCCAAGGACTCGAAGCTTAAATTACGAAAGGTCCCTCTAGAAGACATTGATAAGTAATAAAAAAGGACTTTTTCTCATCTAACACAAACAATGTCAAGCGTTGGAACTCACTAGATGTCTGTTTAACACTTTTAGACCTTCAATGATTTTTTTGGGGGTGGGGTGGAGAGAGTAAACCTTTTTTGTTTAATATCTTATTGTTTAAGTATCTTACCATATTTAGTAATAATTATTAAATAATTATTTTAGAAATTTTAATTAATTTATTCCAGGACCTCCCAGAAAACCACTGCGGTGAGGGGAGCTTTCTGACTAAATATTATTATTAAAAATATTACTGTTAATACAATCTTTAAGGAGATATCTCTCTTTGACACAATAGGGTCACTCGAGCTATGAACACTTGACGCTTTTTTCTACATTTTTTTGGTGACTATAGAACTATAAAGGTTCTTCATATAATTTTAAAAAGATTAACGTTTTTTACACTAAAGCCGGATCCTCACTTGCGACACAAGCATAAGCACAAGAACCTTAAGTGCTAGTGGAGACGGCCGTAAGTGAGTATAAGCCTTCTGCTTTTGCTTATGCTGGTGTTATGCCACGGTTCAGTGTGGACAGAATTGGCATAAGCATAAAGTGCTCTCTGATTGGCTGAAAGTCTTTCTCTTATGCTTATGCCAACCAAGTACTCACNACATGTATCCAAACACCGAGACAATTTCAAAATTTCTTTGTTTAAACTTGATGAATTACTAAATTAGTTTGAGAAATCTTAATGAAGCAAGAAGTTCAGCTACAGTGACAGTATTCATATTGCAACTTAAGTTATTTTCACTTGGCCCTAGGCTGGTTGAGGGGTTGGGCAAAGGGGATAATTTCCTTTGAATCACATGATGTTTATAACTCTTTCTAGTAGAAATGACTTTGCACCAGACAAGTAAGTCTTTCACTACAGACTACATTTCACTTTCTTCACCAATATATTAATTTTCATGATTACCATAGTACCATACTTTCTGTAGCATGTTCTTTGAGCATTTATCTTTTTCATGTCCATTTTGTTTTCTTGAAATGACCAGGACCTCTAATTCTCACAATCCTCATGCTTCAAAAATTATGGTTACAAAGAATGTAAAGAGAATCCACACCTTGATCAGTCACCTACAATTTGACCTACCTTGCTTGCTTTGCATTTGACTTGGCACTGTCCTGTGGTTATCCTTGCTTGATGGGATCCCTGATATTTTATCATGTGTAGCTGAAAAACTATCGCTAAAGCCACAACGGCGATTTCCTGCAACGTTTACTCCATTTGGAGTATCCGAATCCAAGACACTTAAGGAACTCCTCTCAGCACTTCTAATATCATTGTCAATTTCTCTTACTGAATCATCACATTGTGCCGTTGGCACCCTTAACTTTGGTCGCTTCTTGTACAAGATTGTCCAGAATCTCTTAATCTTGTCTTTGCGTGGTGCCTGATTGCTGTCACTCAAATCCACGGCCATGTCATCTTTGAAGTCTAGTTGCCTTGCTACGCCTTCCTTGCTTCCCCTCTCTGAGATTGGACGAGTGACATGTGATAGATCAGGTTTTTGAGAAGTAGGCAAGGATTCAGATCTCTTTGCCAACAGTTTGCTTGTTTTGTTTGGACTGAGTGAAGTTTCTGGTGTGTTGGTCTCGTGCACTGTACTTGTCATTTTGTTCTCGTGTGCCTGCTCCTGCTTGCTGTAAAAGAGTGGGGTGTGTGCACCTAATCTTATGCCAGAGTCTGATGGCATGGGTATCCTATTGGCCTCATTGGTCAGGGCCACATTAAGGGAGTGTTTCCGGCGGTACCTGGGCGTGGCCAGGGAATCCCATGGTGGGTCATCCCCTTTACCCCTTCTCACAAAATTAAGATTGGATGGATGTGCTCGCAGGTTTTCAACCCTTTGCTGCAATGTTGCTAAGGTTGTATTTGGTGTATCCTCTCGTTCTAGTAACGCCTCTGAGCTCAGGGCGTGATTTGAGTCATCTGCGCTAGTTTCACCCCTGGTTCTACATCCGTGATTTTTTAGATCAGAATCTACTCGAACATTCTCCAGGTCACCAACGTGTGGCAACGAAGAACAACGAAAAGGCTTCACGAGAGATACGCGAGGATGCGAGTTCGATCGGTACAAGGATCCTGCGTTTAAAACATCCTGTGCGTCGTCGCTCGAACCATTGCTCACTAGCCTGGAAAGCCTGGAAACCGAAGGTCGGTGATGTTGAGTAATGGCTAGTCTGCGGACATTGCTCGGGTTTAGCATTGACATCGACCACATGGATATCGTTCGATCGACGCTCAGAGGAAAAGAGCATTCGGGAATTTGAACGTCTTCGCCATCATTGTCATCGCTACCATCATCGGAGTCGGAGTCGCACTCTATTTCACAAATGCTGTGAGAGGGAATCATGCACCGTCCTTGAGGTTCTTCGACATTGAAACTCCGCAGCCATTTGGGCCAGACTTCTTCTTTCCCACAGAGCTCGTACGTTTTCCACAATGATGTCTCCTTGTTCCATCTAGCTTTGAAAGTAAACGGGCAGCCCTCGCACACCTTGACGCTTACATCTGAGCGACGAAATTTCGTTACAATTTTGCCAGATTCGCACTGAAGCACACGCGCTTCAGAATCTCTGCGGTCCCTCATCTCTTTAACGAAAACAAACTCGTCCGTCAATAAGATATGAACCGTCTTAGAGTAGTGGAGCTGGCTGTTGAGCTCCAGAAATTCACTCTCAATCAAAACTTCGCCCTCTGTGATCGGAAGACTTGTTGGTCCACCAGATAGGCCATGCCGCATTGACCCAATGTTGTTATTCTTCCCGCGACAGTTCGCTTCGACATTCGAAGCCATGTTTCTACCGTCCCGTCCTTCAATTTGATTCAGGGTTTCATTGCGTTATGAAGCGGCGGTCTTGAAACAAAACACACGCCTCTGAAACAGGATAGGTCTTTGATTGTTATCCTAAAGCGACAGTTCATGCCGGGTAAACAGAATGAATGGGTTCGCCGTCCGCCATATTGTTCCGTAGTCCATGTCAATTATTCATATTTATGACGTCAGAGCTCGTCATGAATAATTAATGTCGGATAAAATGCTTGGCCAGGCCAGGCATAATTCAGTTTTAGACCACCTTTTTATTTCGAAAAAGACAAGAATTAACACTGTGGGAATTCTCCGCAACAATAGCCATTTTTAATCTCTAAAAGGTCTATCTCGGAAACACACGCAGATGAAAACTGGGAGCTTAACCCATGGAGGCAAATTGAAAACAAAATAACTTAGCTATTTATAAGCTGAAACGCCCAATATGTAGATCACATTGAGGGAATGTAAATTGAATTTCGTGCACTTCCATTAAACCGGCGACGTTTTGGGCTCGTCTAACCACTTTGTGCCTCTGGCTCTGATTCTTATCAGCGAGAATTCACGTCAAACGCTTTATCTCAGTACATTTTTTGATATAAAATTTCCTTCGGCTAAATCTAGGCCTAAACCCAAAATTGACCTGTTGTGGTTTGACTTCCAAGTGCACTGATTTGCATACATAGGTCTACAAGCCATTCTAACCTCTTGCATGATAATCTACATGACGTGTTTCTAAGTGGTACAAAAAAAACCCTCTACCTTTCAATCTTAGATATGAAAAATAACGCTTACTATCGCAAGCTCCTACTAGCACCTACTGCTGTTTAATCCACGCTGTTAATTTTTTTCACCCTTTATTCTGATTAGAAAGACAGAATTTTTCAGTAGTCTTTCCAACAACTCAGTGGAATTATTAAACCATCTTCGCAAATTACATTCTATTTGGTTTGACGGGAAGACATTTTCTGTATAATAAAAATATATCGATCGGAGAAATCATCATATACTTCATGTCAGTGGGCTCGATCAACTTATACAATCGTTGGTATAATACTACAAGTTACACACACATTTAAAGGTACAAGGAGATGGTAGTGTTTGATCTCGACAATACAAAATATATAACAAACAGAAAACTGAAAAAAAAAAGAGTATAAAATGACATAAAAAGATACAAATAAAAAACGTTGAAGAAGAGGTCATTGTTTGGTTTTCAGTTCAAACTCTGTAGGCTCGGCAAATGTCGCAAGTCAATTGCTACACCTAGAAATTTTTGTAGTTAGCATTATTTCTATAATATAGTGCTTTGATCCCTCTTTGATCCTCGCAGTTTAACTGCTCTTCTTTGTCGGGGTGTAAACTCAAGGTGTTTGCGCAGCGCCGACTCATCCTTTGTCCACAAAATATCGCGTGCTTGCTTAAAACAAAGAAACATTCATTGTCAGCTTGAGCGCTTATCGTGACATCTTTGCAACACTCGGTTTAATTTTTTTTTTTCTAATTTGAATAATGGAAATTTAAAACTTGTCGTTGTGTCTTAATGACAAGAATAGAGTTAAAACTGCTGTCTATTCACACCCTAGAGCTTTTTTTAGCGAGACGCCCGAGCCAATCGCGTAGAGAAGAGAGCTTGAGAATGGGAGTAGGGGGCAGGATAATTGATTCTATCGAAATTGTTGAAATTATTATTTGCTTCTCCCAACCATTTAAGAAAAAAAGTCACACCTTACTTCCGCCCCCCTCTTATCCCCACCCTACTCCATAGAGTTAACTTTGACCATGTCGACTCAAACGACAGGTAGCTGCGGCGTCAAGTTTTTATCTTTCAGCTGAGATGTTACACCCATTTTATCGGTTAGCTGAGGTCTGAGATTTGCAATATTTACTGATGAATGAGAGATAGGCTGAAATGTTAGTTGATAGCCGAGAAATCGCGGAAAATTTAACTCATAACTGAGATTCCTGAGGCCCCATTCAGACGCCTGTAATGAGAAAATTATAAACGACGCGAAAATGATAAGAAGGCTCTGGCTCCTCCCTGTTATCTCCTTTAGTCGCCCTGCATGCAGTTTCCTCGTGAAAAGCGATGAAATGCTATGGTAACTTACCGCCAACTGTTTTGAGTGCTAGATGGAGCATTAGACATTAATATCTTAAAAAGTTGGCGATTCTTTACCCAGTCACATGTTTTCCTGATGACGGATTAAGCGGTAAAACTTTATCTCCCAAGAGAGATAAAGATAAACTCTATCTCCGAAGAGAGGTATAAGCTTTCCAAGGACTCGAAGCTTAAATTACGAAAGGTCCCTCTAGAAGACATTGATAAGTAATAAAAAAGGACTTTTTCTCATCTAACACAAACAATGTCAAGCGTTGGAACTCACTAGATGTCTATTTAACACTTTTAGACCTTCAATGATTTTTTTGGGGGTGGGGTGGGGAGAGTAAACCTTTTTTGTTTAATATCTTATTGTTTAAGTATCTTACCATATTTAGTAATAATTATTAAATAATTATTTTAGAAATTTTAATTAATTTATTCCAGGACCTCCCAGAAAATCACTGCGGTGAGGGGAGCTTTCTGACTAAATATTATTATTAAAAATATTACTGTTAATACAATCTTTAAGGAGATATCTCTCTTTGACACAATAGGGTCACTCGAGCTATGAACACTTGACGCTTTTTTCTACATTTTTTTGGTGACTATAGAACTATAAAGGTTCTTCATATAATTTTAAAAAGATTAACGTTTTTTACACTAAAGCCGGATCCTCACTTGCGACACAAGCATAAGCACAAGAACCTTAAGTGCTAGTGGAGACGGCCGTAAGTGAGTATAAGCCTTCTGCTTTTGCTTATGCTGGTGTTATGCCACGGTTCAGTGTGGACAGAATTGGCATAAGCATAAAGTGCTCTCTGATTGGCTGAAAGTCTTTCTCTTATGCTTATGCCAACCAAGTACTCACTGGACATAATAGCGAGATAAGTATAAGCAAAATCATACTTTGATATTCTTATGCTTATGCTTATGTCGCGGCCGTCTTCACTAGCGCATAAGCTTCGTTTAGGCCAGTGCTTATGCTTACGTTTGCGTCGCAAGTGAGGCCCGGGCTTGATTAGATGAAAGTCTTTTGCTTGCACTGATGCCAACATGTCCATACTGGACACAATAGCGACATAAGCATAATTATAAACATAATTTGATATTCTCATGCTTATGCTTACATGTATGTATGGCACAGCCGTCCCCATCAGCGCATATAAGCCTCTTGCATTCTTATGCTTATGCTTGCGTCGCAAGTGAGGACTGGGCTTGGGGAGCACACGCGCGAGCAGTGAGCGCCGGATCGCTTCGCTCGCGCTTGTGACTCAAAGTTGAGCCTGCTCCCACGTTTATATGAAGAACCTTCATTCTTTCGTCACTAACAAAACGCACAAAAAATGTCAAGTGTTCACGGTTCGAGTGTCCTCACTGCAATACCCTTGTAAAAATACAACAATGTTATCTGAATAGATATCGATCAGTATGCTTTGAACATAACACCATTACTTATTAGAAATGAAATCTCTAATGAAATACACTCCCATACAGGCGATGTCAAGTATCTAAAGTGTACGATGTTGTAAATCTTCCTTTCTTGTGTAAACGCATCGATAAACTGATTCATTTAATTTCTTGCACACATTTGGACGACTTTGGAGAGCAAACTACAACGTTCTATCCAGAAATTTTGGCTACTTAGCCAAGCTGTCGGCTTGAGCACCGTCACAACACCAAGGTCTGCATCTGCAAGCTTCCTTCAGGTTGAAAGCTTCAGAAAACCTGTATTCTATCATTTCCCCAGTCCGCAACAACGATATTTCCCTGCTTCGTAACAGCAACTCCCTCGGGTCTTTTAAACTGCCCTCTCTTGTTCCCTTCGTTTCCAAATCGTGTCAGAAACGAGCCGTCTTCGTTGAACATCTGAATCCGATGATTGTACGAGTCGCTCACGATAATGTGATCGTCAGCGTCCGTGGTTACTCCGGTGGGCCAATTGAGTTCGCCGTCGCCCCTTCCGCTCTTTCCGAACTTGAACAGGAACTCGCCTTTCGAGCTGAACACCTGAACGCGATCGTTTCCGAAGTCAGTGATAATCACGTGACCCTTACTGTTCACTGCTACGCCTGATGGGCAATTGAACTGGCCCTTTCCGTCGCCAAGGCTACCGAATGTCAATATTATTTGACCTTCCCGATTGAACACAAGAACGCGAGCATTTCCTCGGTCTACAACAAAGATACGACCCTGGGTGTCTAAGGCGACACCGTAAGGCTGATAGAGGCGCTCTCCCTCCATACTTCCTTTGCCAAACTTCTTAATAAACTTGCCATCTTTCGTAAATATCTGCAAAATAATTTTATAGTAGTACTGATTAGAACACTTACAGTACAGTTAATACGTCATTTACGCACAGTAATAGGAAAGTTGTCCTTGGATGTGGTCTTTTTTTTAATCAGTCCGCCAGTCCGCAGTCCGTCAGTCCAGCAACTAAATCCTGGTCTTACCTGCGACGCAAGCATAAGTATAAGAAGCTGATGCACTAGTGAGGACGGCTGCGACATAAGCATAAGCATAAGTGTTCTTATGCTTATGTCGGTGTTATGTCCAGTGAGGACATTGCTGGCATAACCATAAAGCGCTCGCTGATTGGTTGAAAGTCTTTCGCTTGTGTTTATGCTTATGCCAACATGTCCCCACTGGACATAAACGCGACAAGCCTAAGAAGAACGCAAGGTTTTGATATTCTTATGCTTATGGCCGTCCTCACTAGTTCAAAGGCTTCTTTCATGCTTATTTATGCTTATTTATGCTTATGCTTGTGTCGCTTGTGAGGAACGGACTTAAGAGTCCGTCTATCCAGTAACTAGGATTGCCTTTGAATGTCACCCTGGGTAAACTTTCTATGTAGATGACTTACTTGGATTCTATTATTCATTGAGTCCGCTACAACAATGTTCCCCTCGCTGGTCACTGCAACTCCGCTGGGAAACTGGAAATGACCATCTCGACTTCCGGGCGAGCCAAACCGGAAGCGGAAGGTCCCATCCATGTCAAACACCTTTTATACAAACAGATAAAAACGGCAATTAATGATAGATTTCCTGAACAGATCCAGTGACACCTGTCTAGCTGTAAAATAAATACCTTAATTATTAAGGCCTCAAAAGTTTGAGAAAACTTAGTAAAAGGTAGAAATCCAACATCCAATTTGTGCATTGCCCAATACAAACAAAACAATCACTACCGCAATGCTTAGCTTTTTAATTTAAAATTTTGTTGCTAAAAATGCTGGCCAAAGATCAAAGCCAACAGTAAGAGTAGAGGTGCGCACTCCTAATTTACGCACCTACAACTTATGATAATTTTTGCAATGATTGACAGAAGTTTACCCACCTGAAGACGATGATTACGCGAGTCGCTGACGATCACGTTCCCCTCCTCACTAACTGCCACACCCTGGGGATCTCCTAATTTACCAAACTTGGTCCCGTTCCCCGCGATAGCTTTCTTGGCGCTTCGAACACGAGGCCTGATGTCCCCGATGTTTATGTCCAGCGGAAAGCCCTCCACAACCTGTCCACGCACGAACACAGCGAACGAGAAGGTGCCGTTGAAGAACGGATGATATATTGTGTAAGACTGTCCGTCAGCTGCAAAAAAGAAAGAGGATACAGATTGATATCCAATTTCTCCATAGCATCAACACACTGACAAGAAGACTGGTGACGAGTTCGTTTTCTCGGTATTGGACTGGAACTAGCTTGCAACTGAGGCTAACGCGTGAAGTCTTATCAAAAGCAAATGCTTATAACACGTTGAAGACTGGTTCTGAGAAACTCGACCTATTATGAATTAACAACTTAGAAACAAGGTCGAGCCTGATGAAACGTGGAATTGTAAATAGACGAACGGTACCCCGGCGAACAACACATAATATATGTGTATTATCTAGAGGTTGCTGTGGTACAGGCAAAATCTTGGCTCGTAATCAGAATAAGCCATCAAGATAATTCTCTCACAATTAGTGGGAGAGAGATCAAAATTCTCGTTCATTTAAAGAAGCCGCAAAAAGGTTATTTGCAAACTAACATGATAGTTATTAAATCTTTCAACTGTTGATTTTAAAATTTTTTTTTAATAACAGCTGTAGAAAGTCGCAAGGAAATGATCAAAGGCACAAATTAAAGTTCGCAGTCAGTCAATGCAAAACCATTCCTTTTGGAAATCTGTTTATCCATTCTTAATTTTTTTAAAGATATTTTCTGAAGTCTCTCCATAAGTGGTGAAAATACATGTGAAGAATTTATTTTTGAAAAAGTAGTCGTCTTAAGTGAACCTATAACGCACGGTCTGTTATATCAAAACATGGCCATTTCAATTAAAACATTTTGAGAGAAAACTCAAATGGGTGAAAACAACACTCAGGTTACGTTTTGGGAGGTATACTACCGAGAGAATGCTTCAAATAGATATTGGGAGGTACATTGCATTAAATCAATTGAAATGAATTTTAATATTCCTTTACCAATAAGCAACAATTTACCTTGGTGGATTGTCTCCGGAGGAAGAAGGACTCCGCCGGGATCTCGTACTTCCACGGAAAGTGGCGCTTCTTCACGGAAATCTTCCACGGACTCGCTCATACTTCCATTCGTGGAAGGCGGTATCTCAATATCTTCCAGCACCAAATGTGGACCGCTTGTTTTTAAACTTCCCAGAGACTGAGAGACGACAGCCTCGGCTTCTTTGCTGTTCACCTCGTATTTTAATTCCGCGTTTTCGTGCGGAAGGCAGTCAAGTTCCGTGCTGTTCAACTCTGTTAGCCTTTCAGTGATGTGTGTTTTCAGTGAGAGCAGTTCGACCTCATTCGCGTACTTCAAAACCTGCTCGGAAAAATCGCAACCGGCTTTGAACCTTGCGAAGTCTTCCTCGAGTTGGTCTTTTTGCCGCCTCAAAATGGTCGCTTTCCCGTTGTGAATTCTGTCCGCCTCCATCAGAAGTTTCCTCTCTTTTTCCTTTAAAACTTTTATCTGCTTTAAAGTGGCTTCTCTGATTTCAGCCCTGACTGCCGCTAACCTTCCACGAAGAGTATCGGAAATTCCCTGTATTTCCTTAATCGATTTTTCTAACACTGGAATATTCTCAGAGCATTGATTAAACAGGTTCTCGACGACGACCTTCTGTTTCTGTATCTTTTTTGAATCTTTAATGTAATCATATTTGTGCTGACGATGTTCCATTAAAACACAATCTCTACAAACTGCCTCGTTGCACGTTTCGCAGTAATATTTCAATTGTTCGCTGTGATGGATTCTACAAAACGCTGGTCTGTGTAAGTCCTCCCCGGTTTTACTGGCAAGAAGCTCGGAAATCGTCAAAATCTTGTGTTCCTTGGTCTGACGAATTCTCTTGTGGACATTGTAGCAATTCTCGCAAAGAAACTCCCCACAATCCACGCATCGAGAAGTCGCGGCTGAATTGAACGAGTCGCAGTTCGAACAAGGAACAGGTTCTCTGTCGCTCGAATTTATCAACGCAATATCAAGCATGTTGTCCAAAAAGAAATTTATCGGCAGGTTTTCCACTTCTTCCTTTGAAATCTTCGCGTCTGTTTTACACAGCGGGCAAGCCAGGAATTCGTTCGGCGCGAGTTTCTCAGCCAGGTTTTGAACACAAACTTGACAAAATGAATGTAAGCATGGCAAAAGTCTCGGTGTACGAATCAACCTTCTACAGAGAGAACAATTTAAATGTCTTGATATATCTTCGACGTTTACTCCAGCAATTATCGACGAAGCCATTTTGCCTCGGCTTATTCAAACAAAGTTTTCCGACACCAAAATGTTTTTTTTTTCGCGGCTACCTTAAAAAATCCCCGTTAAAACTTCGCGAGTCAAAACCTTACACTGTATGTTTTGACTTCAAGCGAAAAATTGTTAGCTTAGCAACACGATAGCAACCGTATAATTGTTGTTCGTTAAATATTCCACTCAAATTTAAAAGGAAGTCAAGTCGGGTAGTATCAATAAGTCATAAGCTCTCGTGCCGGTTTTTCTTGCTAAAAGTAAATATTCACAGCCGCTTTTCCCACTGAATAAGTCCTCAACCGATTTGCACACCCGTAAATCGCCTAACACCTTGTTAGTGTGTTCCACTTACTGTTTCTTATTTCGCAAATAAACGGACTCTCCAAGCATTGAATATGGCCGTCCTCTTAGCCATATGTTTTCTTTTGACAGCTTGGCTCGAAATTGAATGTCATATACAAGACGGAACCATTATTCCATTTGCATGTATTCTCGTCTTTGTTTGCTCTGGAAATGTCGTAAAAGAAAACGTTTATTACTTTGATCTTCCATGAAAAATGCTTTCATCGTTGCTAGAATAAATAAGCTGAGCTCTATCGAAAATGATCGATTTATTTTGGGGCTTAGAAAAACTCACGATGAAACTGAATTCGTTTTTATAGATTTAAGTGACAAAAAGCTATTATTACACATATTAGCATGCCGCTTTTGTTTATCTGTTTCAACTGTCATTCAGAAGATTCTGTGTTTGTCGACGAGACAGGTGCAACTCACAAAGGAACTATTAATAAAACTACTCGTTCCCAGATCTTTCTCTTAACTCCTTCCCTGCGTCTCTTTTCTTAGCGTGGCAACGACTTCGCTGCTGCACTCGGGAACTTGACACGATCTGCGTTTTCCCACCTAAAGTCCTGGCCACACGAACTCGCAAGTAGACGAAAATTGAAAACTTGGGCCTCCTTGCGACTCCGTTTCGCCAGGTCTTGGGTGGGCTTGAGTTGACTTGCGCTCACTCTAGTCTAGATCAAATTTGCACGCAAGTCGACGCAAGTCTTTCACCGTTTCGCCACCCAAAGTCTACGCAAGTTGAGTAACGTCCATTCGTTGTTTTAGAAATCTGTTAGCTAATGAAATGCAGGATATGTAGCCTTGAAATAGGTTTTTGCGACTAGCGAGGAAACTTGCGAGTCCGTTCGGCCCCCATTCAAGTCTCTACGCAAGTTCAACTTGCGGCTAGTTGAGTCCTCTTCTCTTGTTTCGCGCCTTTTACTGAGTGAAGCAATACTGATAACGGCCCCTGGGGACAAGAGAAGGCCTCATTAATGCCGGAAGATCTCGCCTGCGGTATGGGCGGTTTGACGATAACGCACGAGTCCCGAGGCAAGATTAACACGATCTCTTAACACATTTTATCTTTTGGTCAGTGCCAACGATCGGCGGACAAGATCTCAAGCGAACACAGAATAAAACTCTTCTGTTTATCAGTTACATTTCTTTATTAACCTCAAATAAGGCTGGTAAAAAAAAGGAGAGTTCGTGCACAAACCAATAGTATATAAACAGAGAAATAGAGACACGTTGAAGGGTTTCTTAAAAGTGATTTACGACTCTAGAGGTTAGCAAAAAATTCCTAGCAACTATCCGAAAGGCTATAACCACTTCGGAAATGGAGCAAAAAGGAAAACAGTCAAACAACACTAGTTTGGCAGCTTGTGAACGAGACGAGCGCCGTAAAGAAGGCAGAGAATCATTCGATCTCCTTCGCAGCCATCGCATGAGTTGCCACGCCACGTTTATCCCCAATCATTGCTTGTGGCGAGGAGCGTTGCGTGACAATCTATATAACGCCGGCGAAGATCAGAGACTACACTATCTTACAAGGGAGCAGAATTTACACGACTGAATACAGCATGGGGTTACAAAGTGTAGTTTCGACCACAGCATTAGACGACTTAAAAAAACATTCTTCACACGGGGCTTTTCATCTTCGGCGGTGACGATCTCGGTCACGTGATCTCGAGCGCTTCTCGCGTGATCTTGACCTGCGGCTCCTGTCACGCGATCTTGACCGCGACCGTCTTCGTCTGTGTCGTTTTTCTCTCGGCTCGCCTTCGTAGTCATCCTTGTCGCTGAAATGATGTTTACTCCCCGTCGACCTGGAATAAAATTGACCGATCGTCAAACAACGTAATTCAGGGGCAACAAAGACTGCACTGAGAAACAAACGCACTGCACTGTTACTGGTGAAACTAGGGGTTCTCCAAACCATACGTACTCTTTAAAGGAGCTCAATCACGGCATTTTGAGTCATTTTCATCACTTATAAAATTACCTTTAAATTGAAGGAAAACTGAAAAAGTTGTTTACTAATATAGAAAAACACTAAAATGTTTAAAATAAACCATAAAAGAACAAGGATGGTTAAGGATGGAGAAGATTAACAAGGATTGCAAACGATGAACTTGAAAAATTTGGGCTAATTTTTCAAGATACGCGAACCGTGACGTAGATACTTTTAAAGCGTCCAAGGTGATACAAAAGAAAACTTGAAATTTCTGACAATAAAGCCATCAAATTGTTTCGTTTTTGAATAGGCAGATAGATGGCATTTATTTACGCACGATAATATTTTAAGCTCCAAGCTCGCGAGGTCGTGTTAAAAACAAACAGCAACAAAAGATACTTACCTTCTTTCTAGCAGCTGTAACTCCAGTCCTTGAAGACAATCTTGTAACGACTGAACAAGCACCTGACACAAAATACGCGTACACATAAACCGACCGCATCCTTTACGCGCAAAGAAAAGCAAGACCACGCGCCAAAGCTTTCACTGTTTAGTGCAGTTCTCTCTAGCGCCCATGCGTATTCGTTGGCACTTAAATAAC